TATGATATCATTTGATGTGATTATTAAAATTTATGCAAATTAATGAGCTTGGCATGTTAGATCCTAGTGCTTGATATGACTTTTGAAATTAATGTATTTGCTTATTAGAATTTATGCATATTGATAACCTTAGTATGTGTACCTTGATTATAATCATGTTATTTAATGATGCACACATTGATATATGACTAAAATTGCATGATTTAATAGTTGATGTCCAATTTAAACTTGGTAAAATGAAGGACTATCAAATTAGGTGCATTTTCTTCAAAACAGTCCCAAACCTTTTATTTGTACCAATCAAGGCTAGTAGAGCCGGCTGCACCTTCTTCACAGCCGGCTCACCCAAAATCCCGAGAGTTTTCTCTTTCTAAGATTGAGCCAGCTCCAAGACTAAAGCCGGCTCTTTGTCAGTCTTTAAATCTTTCGGGCTTCTCTCTCTTCGAACCAGATCTGTTATTTTCTCAACCCGCAAGCGAATCCAATCCAAACCCGATCACTTGTGTTATCATGCTTTGTGAATGGTAATGGCATCACTTATGTTATCATGCTTAATGGTTGTCTATGATTTTGATGATTGTCTGCTCTTATTGAGGGGGAGCATTTTGTGCTTAAATTACTACTCTTAATGGTTATCATGCTTAAATGCTTTAAAAGATTGATGTGCATGAATTAAGGGGGAGTTTGTTGATTATGTGCTTTTTGATGAATGACAAAAAGGGGGAGAGAATATGCTGAATATAATGTCATTTTCTAGAGTATCTTTGTGCTGAAATTTTGGTTAATATTGAAGTATATATGTGCTTTTATTAATTAATTCTCAAAGTGTTTTGTCATCATCAAAAAGGGGAGATTGTTGTACCTATGATTTTGATGATTACAAAAACATATTTGAGTAATTAATTGGTTTATTTAAGTGTATAGTTAAGTTGCTAAAAGATTGTAAGTAAACTTGGATTGCACTTAAAAATGGACCAGAAAGGCTTGAGTATGTGCAGAGAGCTGGCTCTTGAAAGCTACAACCGGCTCTAGTGAAATGGAAGTGTAGAGAGCCGGCTTTGGAAGCTGCAGTCGGCTCTACGGGTAAAGATTTAAAGATCCGTTGTTTGGCGCGCAAGGAGAAAAGACACAGAGCCGGCTCTAACTTTGCAACCAGCTGTAAAGGTGCATTTAATGCACAACGGTCGACTTATTTGAAGAATAATTAATATTGTTAAAGTTGGAATACCAAAGCCGGCTCTAGGCTTTGAGTCGACTGTGAAAGAAAACAAAATGTACAGGAAACCCGCAAAGCCAGCTGCAGAACTTTTAAGCCAGCTCTATGGAAAAAACAAAATGCAGGAATCCCGCAAAGCCAACTGCAGAAATGATGAGTCGGCTGTATAGAGCCAGCTTTAGGAAGTTAAGTCGGCTCTCCTAACAATCCTGCAACTCGAGCTTTGGGTCCTACAGAGCATTTAATGATCCTCAACGGCTATAAACGGCTATTTCAAGCAAGGGGCTATAAATATGGTTGGTAACAGATTTGAAGAAGTTTAGAGAACATTGTATTGAATATTTTTACCTACCAACTTGTGCTTTAACTTGAGATTTTGATCTTTGAGAGATCTTTATTTGTAATCCTCTTCTTGTTCTATTTGTGAGTAATCTTGGGGGTGTGACTATTCCTTCAAAAGTGATTTGTAGAAAGGATTGCTTGGATTTATCTTGTAAATGGGTGAGATTTTAAAGAAACACCCTTACTCTTGTAAAATGATTGAGTGGCTCCTTTAAGCCACCCTTGTTGTTGTTAGTGGAGAGTGTGGAAGAAATCTTTGGTGAGTGAAGCCAAGGTAAAGGACTAGGCTCCAAGTGGTTGGACCAAACTTCTATAAATCATTGAGGAAGCTCTTCTTCTCTACTATCTTTAATTTTGGTTTTGTAGTTGCAAAAAGGGGAGAATTTTTAGAACTCCAATTCATCCCCCCTCTTGGAGTACATTGAGTCAACAATTAATAATAATTATTTTTTTATTTTAAAATAAATAAAATTAATTTTTATTTTAATTTTAGATATTATGTATTAACTTTTTATTAGTTCATTTTAAATTAAAAATAAAAATTATTTTAATTTAAAATTTTATATTTTTTAAAAAAATATTATAAATATTATTCAATTATTACTTTCTATCTTGTATCTTAAAAATACAACATAGACAAACTCTTATTTATTTTTGGTTTTGTGCAAGAGATTAGTATGAATCAGGAACCAAGGACATGATAAGCATATTTTTAATGGTTTTCATGATTAAAGTATGACATGCGGCCTTATCCTTTTCATTATTGAGGAGATTATTTTAGTCATTGGATGCGAGAACATTGAAAATCTTTCCTCATACCAATCACAGGTAAGAAGTTTTCTTATTCTAGGAGTACCTCTTTTAGTCTTTTTTCTTCCATAGCCTTTTTCTTTTCTAATTTGAAAATAAGCACTTAATTGACATTTAATCCATTCTCTATTTTTTGGTACTTTTGTTGATAAGTCATACAACAAGAAGAAATGCTCATATATTCTTCATTTGAAATAAAAACCTTCAATATGAAAATTAATTAAGTTCTCCACTAAATTATTTTAGACCTAAATGTTGGAGCAATGGATTCTGAATTCTACTCTAGTAAATAACTAGTTTTCTTTTGTTTTTTCTTCTTAGTGATGTAATTTTAATTTAAATATTTATTTCTTATGTGTGAAACTCATGAATAAGTATATATATTTAGGGTTTCTCTCATGCACTGCTTCTAGGGTTGAGAGCAGTGGCGACGGGTTTTTCTCCCTAGGGTTTCTCTCCAGCAAAAAAGTTCCTTCATCCCTCCTTTCTTCTTACCCCTCCCTTCCTCCTCTTGATCTCCTTCTTCATCTTGTCACTGTCTTGTTGTGGAAACTCCAACCCAAGGGACCACAAGGCAATGATTTTTTGGGTTTTCTAAGGTTTACATTTATTGATTTTCAAAAGCTGTGATTGGAATTGATCTTGCTAATGAAGTGGGTTTCTCTTATTTAATAGGCAAGAGTCTCGTTTTGGTGCATCTCCTTGGATGGGATCTTGGCGAGGTCGAATTCAGTGAATCTGGTTCACACCAGTTCCCAATCAACTAGCCAATTGTCGAAGGAAACGGATGTTGTTGGTAAGGCCGACTATGGTAAGTGTGGGAAGCCTGATTTTCAAGCCGACAAAGGGGCTCTAGTTCCCTTAATGAGTTTCGACGACATGGGTTTGAAGAGGATCGATAAAGATGGGAACATGATGGGAGCATACGGAGGTGATTGGGGGGTCTTGTGCTTGTCAAGAGAAGGCTTATACCCTCTTGGTTGTTCTTCTTCAAGAACAAATAGGGCAACAACTTATGGGTTGGGGACTATTTGTTGTCGGAAACCCTTGCTCTCCCCAATAAACTGGTTAAATAAATGAGGATGTCCAATAGTTCTTAATGCTCACAATGACTCTTATTTCTACATTAGTAGTCCTATTTAACACATACAGCAATTGTAAATTCAATCCCTAATTGCAGATGGCTTTCTTTGCTTAATTATCTATATTCATCATGAGTATAGTTTAAGCATGTTACTAATAGTGTAGATTATGCTTCTGATTTTGTCTTTAGATTATTCTGATTTTGATTATATGCCATAAGATGAAGATTCTACTATAATTTCTTAACACTTAATATATTTCTTTATTTTTCATAAAAAAAAAAGTATATATATTTATTTATTTCATAAAACACTTTGTTGTGCTTAGATCATTACTAGAAGCACAATAAACAAGTACCAAAAGAAACAAACAATTGTTGGACTGCACAACACGGTTGGATGAGGGTTGAGTTTGTTGGAATTAGGGTTAATAAATATATTATATAATCTATTAAATTAAAATATATATTAATTATTAAAAAATAATAATAATAACGGGTAACCTGACAGCCTAAATAAAAGAAAACGGTAGGCAGATGTAAGATTTCGCATCACCTTGACATCATCAAAAATGGTTTCCAAAGCAAAATGTTGTTTTCCCGCCGCAAACAAAACAACAGTTTCAATTTCAAGACTACTATGCTACACTACTACCAACATGGGCAATGATGTAAAAATAATTTTTTTATATTATTTTTTTATATAAGTTTTACATATTATTAAATATATAAATATATTTGATATTAAAAATTTTAATTAAATAAAAAATTAATTATTTAAATAAAATATTATATTATATCATAAAACAATAAAAAAATTATCCTAAAATAATTTTCCATACTATATATATGGTTGAATCCGATGCGAGCCCTTCTCTCTCTAACCGACGCACTGTCAATCCTCTCCTTGTCTAGATGTTGCCCCTCCATTGGATCTGATGCCGAACCACTTTCCGAGAAAAAAAATATCCTCTGAAAATAAAAATAAGAGTTATATAAAA